GCTGACATAACTAACGATGATATGTGTGGTATATTTCATCAGCGTTTAAAATATTTTAAATTCCGTCGTGTTCCAACAAAAACAGGCAAAGATGTTTTCTATCTTTTTTTTCGACAAGAGGAAGACACATACGTTGCTCTTCGAGCAGCTAAGGCGATAAAAGGAATCTCACTCGTTAGATACTATCCAAAGAATCGTATCAGTTACGAATTACCATTCCGACCATTTCCACCAAATGATATAATCAACATTTGTCGCTACGCATTCAGAAAATATCTAGATAGATTTGATACTGTGGTACGGAAAAAGACTTTTTTTTATCAATATCAGATACTATATTTTTTTCATATAGGAACTTTTCAAAACATTTCTTCGTCGCCTTTCAGAACAAATAATGGCACAATACATAGCAATTTCTAATGGTTTGTTCTTTTCCATATTTCACAGAAAGATGTAAATTACTTCTATTTGTTCACATTGTAGTACATGAACGAATTGATAAGTTGCACATGTGGTGGTGTATGAATGAACAATTTTTAGTCAAAGATGGTTACTCTGTACAGAAACTTTTAGATATTCTTTAAATAGAATCTTTTTTTATATTATAAAGTTTTTTAATATTGAATGAACTATAGAGTATCATTGTATTCATTTGATTTGCGCTACTGATGAGCGATGTTGCTCTTTGTACGAGTGCTTTGCATGTGATAAAGGTGTGCTTTTATTTCACTTTTATATGCTTTACTAATTAAATGTACATTCACAGTGTGAGCATACGATAAATAAATGATAGGTCTACTAATACATATGATTAGCTCATAACTGAACGTATGACACAAGAAACAATATATGATGGGTCAATTTGTATAACTGTGTAAATGATATGTGAATATATGGTAAAAACACTACTTTAAATAAAAGTAAAATTGACCGTTTCGTTTTCTTCAGAATGATGAGAAAAGAATCTGAGCTATCTCAAATTTTTGGCAGTGCCGTTCGTGCTAATTACAACCGTTAATTGTTTCCTTTTCAAATTTCCACCTGTCAAGTGTGTTTATATGATCACAAGTGATAATTATCAGAGAGAAAAAAATATTAATTTCTCTTGCTAGCAAAACCGGTAACGCTTTGTTGTTTTATCTTTAACCGTTTTAAACAAATATTTATTTTATCTATGCATGAGCTGTACGTCGACTTTTTGATTATCATTTCAGTTATAATCTCATTGGAATAAGTTGACTGGACGTATATAACAGCTATGAAGTTCGAATATATAGTCAATAATTCCGCGGATGATTAGTTACTCAGAAACTCTGCTAATTCCCTCCATCAACTTCCTCTTTGTATCCACTGTTCTTCATGTCTATTTCTAGATATCAAAAAACACTTACTTGGATTACAAATAAAATAAAATTTTTCCAATGTCTCAACCTGAACCTATCATAATTAACACTTATCAGGTATCAACATCAAAATATTTTTCTTTCGTTAATTAAAACATACCTCTAATTATAGTTGGATAACCCAATATACATCGTGTTACCGATGCCAACGATTATGCTCCAAATACCATCTATTAGGATAATATTTTCGCATGAATTTGGCAATGAACATCATAGTGAGTCAAACAACAAGTGGACTCGTTATGGCCATCCACAAAGCGAAGAAGATGAAATTGACGAAGACTATATGAACAGAGAAGAAATTGAAATAGAAGAAATTAAACAAGAAGAAATGATTTTTCAATATCCTTTTAACCAACAACATGATTCTAACAAATATATACTTCTCAACGATGTAAATCTTAACGAATCATCCTTGTCATATTTATCAGAAGCGAACATAAAAGACAAAATCTATGGCTGGGAACAGTTTTTGATCGAATAGACTTGTGAAAAAAAACAATAATTATGTACACATGTAACTTATAACATTATTAAAAAATCGAAAAAAATGCTTGTATCATATGAACTAACTGTACTCTGTATATATAGATCTCGATTAATATTTAAATATAAATGATTCAAAGGCGCGCAATTATTTAAAAAAAAAGGAAATTGAGCAACTTATGGCATGACTGACTCTAAAGTAGTCTTCTAATCTATTTGCGACAAGAAAAGGAATATAGTAAGTATGATTCTATAATCAGAAATCAAATTCTTTTCTTAAAATTGGTAATATTCACTTTCAAGTCAATTTTTTGAATTCATTGTTTTTAAGCGTAGCTTGCTAATAACTTATCGTCAGTTTTTTCTGTATAGAACGTGAGTGTTGAATGACGAAACCAATAGCGTTGAATTCTCTTTTCAGCTAATTTTCATTTGATCAATTTTATGTTCATCCTCGCATCAATTCTAACAGTGAGCTAATAAGAAGAAAGACATAGACAAACTAAAACAAATGATAGAAGATATACTGAAATGATATATGGTGGCGTAGAAAAACAACAAAATGGAAAGTAATATATTCAAGCGGAAGAGAAATAGAACCACTCAAGATTATAACTGCTTATATATATATATATATATATGAGTCAATATTAATTTATTCATTTGATAATTATCATTTGTTTTCAAACATTTCTAGATATATCTATTGATTGATTATGACAAAAAATACAGTTGTTGAACTTAATCAAGATGTTGGCTGTTATCTGTTAAGGTTTATTGATGGAATAGACGCGATTAACTTTATCGAGGCAGTAAACGATAGTCGACAATTTCGGTCAATTGCAAAAACGTCAGATTATCATTTTATTCAGATGATTAAAGTGTTCTGTGGTCACTCAAGAATTCTATTACCATGTGCACCATTTGAAGACTTCACAAATGAATATGAAATTGATGATGAACAACTCATCTTACTCTCAAAGCGCTATTCTGATACCATCGAGCCATCTATACGTTTATACATTCACCCTTGCTTTAGTACTGAAGGGTTTACTAAGTTATGTGAAGTCTATCAGACTTCTCTTTTCAGCTGCTATTCTCACCTCTTACCATTGAACACTGTTTGTTACAATTACAATGCAGATTTTGGACTACTTGATTATGAGTGGTATGGTCATACAATCGGAGCGGAGCGCATGCTAAACGACCACGAAAAACATTTGTTCAAAAGTAAAAACTAGAGAATACAAAATATAACTCCTAAAAGTCGATACCTATGGTTCATTTTAGTTAGCACGTATTTTAATAGGAAGATAGATCAAAATGATTCGCCGAATATGACATTTGTGCATACAATAAAAGAGTTTAAACACAATTTAGCTGATCGTTTTTTATCAGATACATGGCTACGAGCCATAGACTTCTCAAAATGGGCGATTGTAGGAGGATGTGTCCTAAATGCTCTCTGTAGATCACCGTTTTCAGACACCAAGCAGCAGGATGTCAACTTAGTTTACTATGCAAATGATATATTAGATTTTAAGAAATCAATAGATGTTACGGTAAATAATCTTGATAAACTAGTTTCACAGGATTTATGCAACGAAATCAAAGTGGAAAGAATACCAGGAACACCTGAGTACCATGTGTTTCTACCTTGTTATGTTCGGCTTAAATTCACGTGGGCAGCGATAGGAAATTCGAAAAACCCACTTTCACACATTCTTCATAGTTTTGACATGGATATTTGTCAAATAGCCTTTACTGGTAAATCTCTATCTTTCAATCATCATTGCATATATGTGATTTTTAGGAGATAAAATTGTTTCGACGTTTCCGTTCTTGCAAGCACTTGCGACAAAATCATTTATTGTTTATAGTCTTCATGCTCGAAGTCCAAAGCATTTGTGTACACGCATAGCAAAATATTGTAACAGAGGATTCAATCTATTAGAAACTGTTAATTTCGATGGTGAATTTGATTCATTGATGGAACAAGAAGAAATTCCATTGTATCGAGTTGAACATCTCACGTACATTGATGACGATGGTGAAATTCAATTTGCTACAAAAGAATTTCACCGATCGTTTATAAATAATGTTGATACGTTTCGGCTTCAAGAGAAATTCATGCACATGGTCTCTCTGCAATTATTACAATACGCTTAAATAATACATCTAGAACATTTACCAGATAAATGATATTAATGAAAACTTTTACTTAATGCCGTTTTTTTATTGTCAATATTTGCAAAAAAGATATTCTCATTTGTAAAGAGCGAAATAGACTAAATGAAAATCAGTTACCTGTTAATAATTATTCTTTAATATTCATTCTCTCAATCATGATTTCGTTGTTGAATTGATCATTGTTCATATGATGGTCAGTTACGTTCGATTTGAAAAGACTTGTATTCGTTTTCATATACTAATTATACGTGTAGATATTGATAGTTATTATATTAGGTTTTATATTTACGAATAAAAATTTTCTGGAATTGTTATCTATATGTAGCATTTAGACAACATGTATTTATTGTAGATTTTACTAACATAGATATTCACATCTACGTTTAAGCTTATTCATCCGAAATGTTACAATTGTCAAGTAAGTATCATGCTGAATTAATTTTTCAAATTCATAATATATATAATATCTTTATACGATAGATTCAGCAATGAACCAGAACATTTCCTCTGATTTATCGGCAATCAAAGCTGATAATAAGGTAAGAACTAATGACATAAAAAAGATCTAATATTTCTATTAATTTGACAACAAGACACTTCGACTGGAACAGAAAAAGGAAAGAAAAGAGCTGCTCCTCTACCACCTGCAGGTCAAGCGAAAAACAATATCTTGAGGGTGTGGGGTGTGGGTGTGGGGTGTGGGTGTGGGTGTGGGTGTCAATGATATTCATGGGCTAACCCAGAACCAGGGACCACAGACAGGTATCCGGACCCACACTCACACCTGCACCCACACCGACCCACACACCCACCCACACCCTAAATAGGTATTATTTTTTGTCATGAATTATTGTTTGCTATATGAAATAGGCATTTAATAATCACAGACACTTGGGTATTAATGTCAACAATGTCATGAACTTTTTTAATGAAATAATCGTCATTCATCGACACAAGACTATTTGAGTAAATCCATTTTAACGAAGAACGACTATGTTTTCAGGAGATCAAATAAAAAACTCCAATGCTACGGATTAAGCTGTTGTTTATTCAAGCATATCTCATTTTTTGCTCTGGAATATTACGATAAAAAAATAAGCATGAATGTAGCTTCTATATATTTTTCGTATTAATCATTTCTTTCAAAAATAGAAAAGAAGACAGCCTCAAAGGGAAGAAGTGATCAAAAGAGAGGAGGAGTAGAGAACGCAATAAGCGAACAGTTCTTATGCTAACAAGACGATATCGAAAGATACATGAAAGAAGAGAGACCGCTCTTAGCAACAAACATGTATGTGTGTGACAAATTTTCACTGTATTTGTGGTCAACAAGCAAAATAGGAATAAGGTTCATTAGATTTTTATTTTTATTTCATCAAGATAAAATTGTCATAAATTAAATCAACCATAAAAATGAAAATTGTCTTGTGTGTTGGTGTGGGTGTTTTCTACATCACAGGAACACTCCCGCGAACTTACAGTCATCAGCAACCACACCTCACATAAACACTCATACACCAATACGCACACGCACCGCCTCATTATTTTGTCAAAACCGATGTCGAAGTGATCGTTTTCTTATTGATTATTTAACTTGGCGTGCTCTATTACAAAAAATGGCTGCGGCATAAGATAATGATTATTCTTATATAATGATCAGACAGCGATCCACAGTGATGATTTCTGAAGTACTGAGCCTTCCCCATCACGTTGAATTCAGATACTCCAATAAAAGGGTGTGGGTGTGCATGCCGATTTAGATTAGCATCACACCCACACCCTCTAGGGCGTGTTTTTATAATAAAAAATTTCAGCTTTCTTCAGATATTTTCTTGCAGAATAATTAAAGTTGGTCTAATGAGGGTGTGGGGGTATGACTGTGTCTCTCACAATAGCCACATCCACACCTATCCAGCAAGCCACCCACACCCACACACCCTCAAGTTGATCAAAAGCAAAAGTTTGAGATTTACAGATTGATTTGTGTTTTCGTTGAAGAATAGGTTGATCTGTTTCCGATTAAAAGTATAATTTTATTCATGTTTTTATAGCGTGATTGGATGTTCTACTGAAAGTTCTACATGGAAAATAAATCAAATATGAGAATTGTCTCATCTACGGTCACGATTAATGTGTAATAAGCGACAAGTCGCTTTGAATAAGATGTCAAAGATATTGAAGTCCTTTAATGAATTAACATATTACATTAGTACGACCATTGTTAGACCGACACCAACGAAGAAGAGTAACCAGCCAGATCCATATCTAGAGGTGGTACATGCTGCCAGTGCATTTTTCTTC